TGGGTGCTCCCCTCCATAGTGCTCCCCCAGTGCTGCTCCCCTCCAGGATGCTCCCTGCTGTGGCTGCGCTGCCTGGAAACATGGGCACTGCTCCCTGCACGTGGGGCTGGGGGGCAGCTCCTACCGCTGACCCTCCTGGGCTGTCTCTCCTGAAGGCCTGTCCACAGCAGCAGGGGCGGAATCACTGCCCTCTGGCCCTCTGGACAGGACCTCCAGGGCTGCGAGGACAGAGAGGCCGCAGGAGGGGAAGGGCGCCTGGCCCAGGAGCGCATCAGCTGCCCCTCAGGCTCCCCCAGGCTGACCCAGGGTGCGTCCAACCCCCTCTCCCTTTGGGGTCAGCCACAGCTCCCCGGGGCTGTGCACACCACGGGAGGGGTGTCCAGGATGGGCTGGCCAGGGCAGGACCCCTCTGTGCCAGGCCCCACCGCCTGCTCCCCATGCCCCTGCATGCCCCCCTTCTCTCCAAGCCCCACCCCTCACCCTCCCCAAGCCCTTGCAAGGGTCTCCCTCCGCTCCCCACCCCACCCGCTGGTTCCCATGGCCCCCCCGGAAGCTCCCCAAGCCTTTGCATGCGCCCCACCCCCCGCGCATTCCCATGGCCCCCCAAGTACCTCGCGGTCCTGCGCTCCAGCTCCCCAAGGCCCTCACGCTCCTCGGCAGCCCTCGGACACCCCCTCCCTCAGCTGAGGGGCGGGGCTGCGGTGGGGCCAGGGCGCCCCCGCCCTGCTTGAAGGTCAAGGTCCGCGTCCCTCGGTTGCTAGGCAACCGAAACCAACCGACTGTGGGCGGCGGGCGGATAGTGCGGCCAGACCCGGGACGCGTCGCGGCACCCCACCATGGACCTGGTCATCACGCAGGAGCTGGCCCGCGCCGAAAGCCAGCATGGTGGGCAGGCGACCTGGCCCCTGCAGACTTGGGCTGGCGCCGGGAGAGCCAGGGCCCTTCGCGCTCCCGAAACCGCGGGAGACCCCAGCCACAGCGCCCCCGCAGGCCAGCAGGCCAGGGAGTGCTGCCGCTAGCGGACCTCTCTGCGCCCCAGCCCCTCCAGCTCCAGGCGGGTGGGGGCTGGGGTGGGGCAGGGGGGGAGGGGCGGCCGCGCCTGACCCACCTTGGGTCCGCAGACGAGGCCGCCCTGCGGAGGGCCTACGAGCTGATCAAGGCGGCCAACCTGGGCAAGTCCGAGCTGGACCCGGTGGAGAGCTTCAGTCCCCACCTGTTCGTCCTGTGCGCCGAGCAGGCACTGAAGGTGCGGGGTGGGCAGGGGCTGGGGGGCGTCCAGCTAGCTCCTTCCCCCGCCCCTCCTTCCCCGCCCCCTCCCCCACCCTGGGGAGCGTGGCTCAGGGTCCCCTTGCAGGTGGGACAGCCGCAGGTGAGCGAGGACTGCCTCCAGATGTACTTCAAGGTGAAGGGGCCCGTCACTCAGTTTCTGGGTCGAGCGCACCTGTGCAGCGCCCAGCTGTGCGCCCCCAAGTCCACAGATGACCTGGTGAGCACTTGCCCGCCCCGCTGGCCGGCCTGCCAGCTCCCCTGAGGGTGCCACAGCCCCACTATGCCAGGGACGACACGCCTCCGGGCACCTGGCGGCCGGTGCTGCTTGCTTTGCCTGGGCAGCGTGGCCTCCTGGGGTCCCCTTGGAGCTGGCCCTGGCCTCCCGGGGTCGCCAAGCCCTGCAGCCCTCTCAGTGACCCCCCCCCTTGCAGGAGGAGTTCGAGAACTGCGTGACCCAGTACATGAAAGCCATCAGCTTCGCCAAAGGCGAGCCCAGGTAGGGTCAGGGCGCCTCTGACCGCTGGGCTGACCAGCCTGCCCGCGTTCCCGCCCAGGGCGGCGTCCGCCCCTTTCCCTTCGCTGTGGGCCTGTCCCTCCCGGCACGTGTCCTCTGCACGCTGGGGGCTGGGCTTGCAGGCGCTGAGGCCTCCTGCCGCCCTGGCCGCAGCCCACAGGTGGGGCGCCGGCAGCTCCCACTCAGCAGAGAAAACACAGACTCTGTCCAGATCAGACTTATGGAACCCGCCGTAGTAACATGTCACTGAGGGCGCGTGGCACTGGCTCCCTGCCTGCGCCCGCTGTCGGTGTGGGGTACAGGCGAGCCAGGCCTCCTCAGTGGGGACAGGTGGAGGGCACAGTGCGATTTGGGGGAGACCGGGCCTGGAGCTGTGAAGCTGGAGAGGCGGGTGGCCCAGGCTGGGCTCCGGGCTCAGAGGCACCTGCAGGCGGCTAGGTGGGCGGGGCGCCGGGTGGGCGGGGCGCCGGGTGGGCGGGGCGCCGGGTGGGCGGGGCGCCCCTGGGCCTGCCTTCTCCTGGAGGTCTGGGCTGGGGCAGCCTCCAGAGTGGCCATCCTGGAGTTCCGACCCCACTCTCCTCCCGGCTGCCCCCGGGCGGAGGGTCTGCTCCCGCCGGCCGTGCAGGGCCACTGGCCAGCGCACAGGGTCGGGGCTGCTGCCCGGGCCCACCTCCCCCCGCAGCCCTGCTCGCCTCCCGTCAGGTGAACGCAGCTCCGCAGGCCTCCCCTGAGCTCTCGCCCACGCCCCTGTGGCCCGCCCTCGGGAGCCTGGAGGCCAGGCCTGGGCGGTCCCCCGCGGGCAGCGGACGGCTTCGGGGACGGAAGCCCGCTCAGGCTGGGGCTGAGCAGGGCCCCGGCCGCAGGTACCACTTCCTGGTGTTCAACGCTTCGGTCCTGTACTGGGAGATGGCGCGGCCCTTCCTCAAGGCGGGGTACCGGCACCACCTGATCCCCAGCCTGAGCCGCGTGGTGACCGCGCTGAGCCAGACAGAGGAGGAGGAGGACAAGCCCTGGCGCGCGGAGCTGACGCTGTGAGCCCGCCAGAGGCCCGGCGGCAGGCCCGTCCCCGCCCCGTCCCCGTCCCCACGCGAGCCCCGCGTCACCTCTTCCCCGCGCGGAGCAGGTCAAAGCCCTCGTTGATCTTCTCGAAGGGCAGCACGTGGGTCACCAGGGGGT